TACTCCACGCCTCGCTCACACTGAAGGCTTCCTAGCACACAAACTTAAGTATTTGCCACCTGGTGTGAAGCGTGCAATAGCCCAACGTGATTGCTTGGTGTGTAAAACAACGACACGTAGAGACAAGAAACGGAAGCTTGTGCAAATATGGTGTGAAACGTGTGGTATCCCATTATGTGCTGTCGACTGCTTCAATGACTACCACAGTCTAGAAATCTTCTAAGTGTGCTTCAAAGTGTGTATAGCGTGTGCGAGTGTGTAAATATGTAAACATATAAGCAGAACATATAATATAATAGACTGTAATGACATATTATATTGCCGTAATTGAAAACATTTGTGTGCGCCTGTGTATACTCAAATATGCAACAATTATTGATACAAAATATGTTCAAACAGTATTTGAAACACAATTAGTGAAAAAAAATTAGATAAAATGCGCTTAGACATTGTAAATAAATAGCGCGAAAATATATTTGTGGCAACTCTGGCTGTTTGAGGACCGCGCGCAACATCTCCCGGGCGTGTACTGCATGAGCGACCATGCAGATTGTGACGTCATCGCAGAGCTTCTCGGCTCTATTGCAACAAAAGTAAGTACAATAGAATTTTTTTTTTATTTTTCCCGTGATCAGTGAACAGAACTTAACAGATTAGCAAAAAAAAAAAAATTTTTTTTTTTTCAAAATGACATGCGCCTGTGTGGATAGCAGGATATTAGACCCCGAGCATGTTAAGGGTTAAGGAGAGGTCACTATGGGGAACTTCAAAATTTTTTTAATGAGTGTAATTGGACAGACGTGTTGCCAGGCAGGGAAGTAAATGAAATTTATGCCAAATTTTTTAAAATATACGAGGAAGGCACACAAACATTCATACCAAAACAGAGATGCAGGGCCAGAAAACAGGATTGGTTCAACAAAAATTGTGAGAGGACCAGAGACCAAAAGACACAAAAATGGAATCAGTATAGGAAGAGGCCAAACCCCCAAACATACCAGCGATACAAAGATGCGAGAAACAACTATACAGTAGTAAGGAGAAAGGCAGAAAGAAATTTTGAAAAAGGGATAGCGGATAAATGTAAAACAGAACCGGGCCTATTCTACAAATTCATAAACAACAAATTAGAGGTAAAGGATAATATCCAGAGGTTGAAAATGGGAAACAGATTCACAGAAAATGAAAAGGAAATGTGTGATACATTAAATGAAAAGTTCCAAAGTGTGTTTGCACAAAATGAAATCTTCAGAGAACCAGACACGATAAGAATTCCAGAGAACAACATAGAGCGGATAGAGGTGTCTAGAGATGAAGTGGAAAATATGCTAAAGGAGCTCAGTAAGAACAAAGCAGCTGGCCCAGATGGAGTTTCACAATGGGTTCTGAGAGAATGTGCACCTGAGCTCAGCATTCCACTTCACCTGATCTTTCAGGCATCCCTGTGTACAGAAATCGTAGCAGACGTGTGGAAACAGGCTAACATAGTTCCAATCTACAAAAGTGGCAGCAGGGAAGACCCCCTCAATTATAGACCTGTATCATTGACAAGTGTAATAGTGAAAGTATTGGAAAACTAATCAAAACTAAATGGGTAGAACACCTGGAGAGAAATGATATAATATCAGACAGACAGTATGGTTTTCGATCTGGAAGATCCTGTGTATCGAATTTACTCAGTTTCTATGATCGAGCCACAGAGATATTACAGGAAAGAGATGGTTGGGTTGACTGCATCTATCTGGACCTAAAAAAGGCTTTCAACAGAGTTCCACATAAGAGGTTGTTCTGGAAACTGGAAAATATTGGAGGGGTGACAGGTAAGCTTCTAACATGGATGAAAAATTTTCTGAATGATAGAAAAATGAGGGCAGTGATCAGAGGCAATGTATCGGACTGGAAAGATGTCACAAGTGGAGTACCACAGGGTTCAGTTCTTGCACCAGTGATGTTTATTGTCTACATAAATGATCTACCAGTTGGCATACAGAATTATATGAACATGTTTGCTGATGATGCTAAGATAATAGGAAGGATAAGAAACGTAGATGATTGTCATGCCCTTCAAGATGACCTGGACAAAATAAAATAAGTATATAGAGCACAACTTGGCAAATGGAATTTAATGTTAATAAATGCCATGTTATGGAATGTGGAATTGGAGAACATAGACCCCACACAACCTATATATTATGTGAGAAATCTTTAAAGAATTCTGATAAAGAAAGAGATCTAGGGGTGGTTCTAGATAGAAAACTATCACCTAAGGACCACATAAAGAATATTGTGCGAGGAGCCTATGCCACGCTTTCTAACTTCAGAATTGCTTTCAAACACATAGATGGCGATATACTAAAGAAATTGTCCACGACTTTTGTTAGGCCAAAGCTAGAATATGCAGCGGTTGTGTGGTGCCCATATCTTAAGAAGCACATCAACAAACTGGAAAAAGTGCAAAGACATGCTACTAAGTGGCTCCCAGAACTGAAGGGCAAGAGCTACGAGGAGAGAGCTAGGAGGAGAGGTTAGAGGCATTAAATATGCCAAAACTAGAAGACAGAAGAAAAAGAGGTGATATGATCACTACATACAAAATAGTAACAGGAATTGGATGCTTTTCGGTAGGACTGGTCGAGGTGGGGGTACCTGTTCCTCTTCTCCCGGTCCAGCTGTTGCTTCGGGTTCTGGCTCGGTTGGAGCCCATTCCCACGAGAGTAGTCCTTATGGTTCCTTGGTGGCCAGCTCAGCTTTATTTTCAGATGCTGCTTGATAATTGTCTGAACCCGGGGAGTTTTCCCATGGCTCCGCCTCTTTCGGCATGTCGGACCGGCCCTGTACGTGACTGGTTCGGCCTTCTCCTCGGCTTTTCTCGTCTGGTATTTTGACGCGGGTATCACCATGTCTGGGGTGATCAGGTGGCTTTGTTGATGGTGTCCCACCTGCGAACTTCGTCTCGGCGACAGTATGACGTTCCTGGTGTTGCTATGCACTTTTTCTTGCTCTTCGTAGGTTGTCTTCCCTTTCTCATCGGGTTGTCTTGTCCTTTCTTGGGTTTTCAGGACTACAGTTTTTGATGTTTCTTACTGTTTCCTCGTTTTGTGTGTCGCTGGCGGAGCCGCTCCGGCTTGCGTTCGGGGTGGACGTCACATCTGCCCCGTATTGTATGCTCTCTCATATTTTGTTTCACCTCCGGCCTGCTCATGCGTCGCCGGAGCCGTCCTGGTCCTTGATCAGGGTGCCTTCTTATCTTCTCAGTTTGCGGTAGCCCCTTCGGTCGAGACGGCTGCTTTCCGGAGGGGTTCTTGGGTTATTGATGCTTGATTGGTTTGTTCGGGGGTGTGTCCTGTGTTGTCCAGTTGCGCTTTTTTGCCGTTCCTTGCGTACCATGTCTGGGGATGCGCTTTGGGTTGATCCGGTTCCCCTCATTCCCTGTTTCAGGGCTTGGGGCTCCCAGGTCGTCCACAGAGTTTTTAAGTCTTCGAGCCTGCGGTCTGTCCTTGCGCCCATGCTGTTCGGACGTTTGCAGCTTTTGCGGCTGTGTTGGTGACATCTTGGGCTCATTTCGGGCGCAGGGATTGGAGGGTCACACAGGTTCTTGGCCGTCCATTCCTTATGCAGGTCTGCTCCTGTGCGTTCTTGTTGCCTTGGGTCGCAGGTTGCAGCCTGTTGTCTCGACTTCGCGTTGCGGAATTTGTTTTGGCCACCTCCCGGGTCAGCCCTCTCTTTTCCTTCTCTTTAGGTATGAAGCTCCAGGGAGTCGTAGGGGCTCCCCACAGAAAACCAGCGTTGAATGTAATAAAACGCCATTTTCTGGGTGAGCCCCAGAGGCTCCCTGGCAACCCTCCCTCCCACCAGTCGGTGTTTTTTTCGCGTTGGTTGAAGCTTAGCTTCTGAACTAATGCTAGGCAGCCGGCGCGGTAGGTCCGGGGCTCCCCCCTTCCCCTCTCGGGGCGGGGAGGGCTGCGCGGATGATCAGCGCGGCAGTAAAGGGTGATGTTTGCTTGTTTCCTTGGGATTTTAGGGAATTTCTACCTCTCTGTTCGTTTTTTTGTTTTAGTTTTTTACCATGTGGGGTTTGTTTTGTTATGCCTACCTTTCTGGGTGTTAACCTCGGTCAATGGCAGGTAAGGAAAACCCCAACCACAAAGGGGTTTTCCAGGGCCATTGCTCCCTGAAACCTCTCTGAAAGGGCAAGGTTCTGGCGCTGGTCCCTGGTAGGTCTGAACTCCTTAGCTAATGTCCTGGTCTAATATAACATACATTAGCTCGATAAGCTCCAGGGAGCCTCCGGGGCTCACCCAGAAAATGGCGTTTCATTACATTCAACGCTGATTTTTTTTTGCGAATGCTTGATTTTATGCGCATGGGAAATGTCACAATAAACTCCGCGTATCACAGTGGTTAAGGAAAAGTGGGCAATAACTTGAATGTGTTTGAATTGTTTTCAAACACAAGATGTTGAATGATGCCCTTATAGGGCTGTTAGAGTTACCTCCCCCTTTTTGGAGGACAGGTGTGGATCACTAATTTCTCTGAGCTTCAGTAGTAGTAAGGGAACGTTTAAAATTCCAATTTGGCAGCAGCATGCTGTTTCTGGAAACTTTTCTTATTATGGCCACTCAATAGCTCGATTGATAAGAGCTTCAGCCTCACACGTGTGGGGTCCACGGTTCGAGTCTTCTAGAGCCCAGGTGAATGAAATGGTGAAATGTTAATGTTAAAAGAGAAAATTAGTTCAGTGGGTACAAATGGCTAGGAGACTGGGCATAAAATACTAAATTTCATTCTCTTATTCTCACTGATTGGTAACTAGGGATAGTGTGACAGATAATATATCAATGATTGAAGCCAGTTTAATCTTTCTTTCTATTGATTTTGTGAATAGCTTTGAATAAAACTATGTAGTCTATAGTTTGTATTCATAAGAATTTGTGAGTTGCAATTAAAAATATCTTTAGAAATGTCTGTCAGTAATGTACAGTACATTTATTTATCCACAGGCAATCAGTGACAGAGGTGTGGTGGCACTGGCAGAAAACTGTATAATGATACGGTACCTGTGTTTGAGTAATTGTATGCACTTAACGGATACCAGTTTAGTAATTCTCTCACAACACTGCACGCAACTTGAGACCCTGGAAGTAGCCGCCTGCTCACAGTTCACCGACAATGGCTTCCAAGCTTTAGCTCGGGTAAGTTGTAGGTTACCTTCTACTTTTCTGCATGCATGTATGCTAAAAATTTGCTTTTATCTGTATTTCGTTAAACAATGAGTGGTATTGTATGCTTGTGGGGTCCCTCTATTCCATTAACAGTACAGTATACTCTTTCTATGGGGAGCCCTGTTAGCTCCCTGAAGCTATCCCACTGGTATAGTGCTATGTTAGTTGGGATCATCAGTCGCAAAGTTCTTGTTGCCTACTGGGAACCAGAGCCAGAACCTGGCCCCCCTCAGAGAGGTGCAGAGAGCAATGGCCTATGAGCACTTTACATTTAAAGTATGGCATACTTTCTGTCAACCTGGAAAGGACCCAGAAAGGTGGGTAAATCAAAACAGACCACTGTCTGGATACAAGTTGTGAGCTGTGTCCTCAAAATAGCAAAAGAACTCCCCCAGAAAGAAAACAAACTAGCAACACTTCTTCCAACTAGCCACCTCCTCATTAGTGCTACCCCCCACCTTCCACAGGGGAAGGGAAAGCCTTCCCGGGTGAGCTGGCAGCCCACCAATTTAGTTCTTGACTGATGTGCTTGGCTGTAGGATGTCGTTCAGGCCGCAATTTCTATTCTAAATTTTTGCCTCAATGGTTGTTCCTACACTTGTCGAGTGCACTGACCTGGAGTTCAGGGTACTGGAGCTGCATGGGTCTAGGGACATCTTCCCTAGGTGCCCTGTGAGTACTGCCATTGGGTGGTCAGGGTTGTCTTTCCTGAGGCACTTGGGAATCACTTCCTTTTAGAGGGCTTCCTTGCTTGTGGTGATAATCACCCTTGGGGTTGTCTGGGGTCTTGGGCTGTCTGTCTTGCCCTTGGTTCGGGGGTGTTTGCTGGTGGTGAGCACTGCAGCTGGCGCAGCCTGCATTATTCTCATGCAACAGCTGATGTTTCTCTCTAGCTTCTAGTTTGCTTGTTGTGTGATTTTGAGGGTTTCTTTTGTTTTCATTCTGGCAGTTTTTGTATTTTGTTGCAGAAGAGGTCTGCTTAACATTTTATTAGGCTTAGCCAAGTGGTGGTGGTCCTCTGTTGCCACCGATGTTACACGACTGCTACATACATGGTTTCCTAGCCTAGCTAGCCCCAGTGCCTGAGCTTCCTGTAAGGCTTATTCACTCATAACCCCTAAACTGCGCAAAACATCATATGAAGTTTGACATTGAGCTCAGTTTTTTTAAATTTTCTGAAACTCTTTCAAATGTTTTGTGCATAATCTACTAGGCATGGGGAGCAATGGCCTATAGAATCTCCCATGTGGTTGGAAGCATTCTATGTCTGCTATCAACCGGGTCTGGCACCCAGAAAGGTAAGCATCCCAAAACAAACCCCTCTTCTGGTGAAAATAAACCGAACAAGTGGATAGAACTTCCCTAAAAGAAACGAGCAAACGAGCATGACATCACACGTTGCCGCGCCGCTATCTGCGCAGCTCCCCCCTCCCCGGGAGTGGGAAGGGGGAGCCCTAGGTGCCCTGTAAGTACTGCCCTTGTGGCTTGGGGTTACCTTCCACAAGTTCCTTGGGTTCTGCCTCTGCTAGGCCATTTACTGCTTGGTTTTTGGCCTCCCTTTGTGTGCTAGTGTGTTCTGTCTCCCTTATTCACCTTAGGATGAGGGGCAGTTTTGCGCTGGTAGGGGCGCGGGGTACTGCACAGCTTGTTTTCACAATTCATAGAGGCCGGCTCTGTTCTACCTGGGTACGCTGTCCTCTTGCGGGGTTTTCTTTTTCTGTTTGTTTGTATGCCTGTGGGGGGGGGGGTGGGGTCTGCCTTGGTTCTTGCCCCCTGTGTACTGAGTACATTCTTCCAGTGGTTCTCCCTGCTAGGTCCCCGTGAGTGTATACATCCTGGGGGTTCAATTTTTAGAAGGTTGTTTGGTATACTTGGGCACCAGTTAGCAGTTCCCTGCCTGGAATTACCTGGGCGTGAGTTACGTTAAACGCTCAGGACCCTGTGAATCCCCTTGGGGACACGTGGGTCCAATGGATGTGTCCCCGGAGTCCCCCCCTCGCTTTGTGCGAGATCAAGGGTTGCTCGGTCCTATTGACTCAGGGTGACCTTCACGGTTTTTTCCTCCATCTGTTGCCTGTGGGGTCGGTGGCACCTTCGACCCGGAGTCCTGCGAGTTTCATTGCTTGTTTGTGATTCGGTTACTCGGTCTTATGCTGATTATGCGGGTGCAGGCAGCACGGGCATTGCACATTGAGTTCAGGTAGTGGCAACGCGCTGGGTTGTATGCTCCCTGGAAGCCCCGAGGCTGCCCCATTTTAGGTTGTTGTGACGGGGCTTGGGGGTGATGGTTGCTTTGTTTTTGTTCCTTCCTCGCCCCCTTGTCTTTTACCTGTTGTGGTTTAGTCTGGCCCCCCCTTCCCCCTTCCTCTCTATATCCGGATCCTTTCCATCTGTGGGTTTGGGGTCGGAGCGAGGTTTGGAGGGTCTTGAGACTTGGGTGGTCTCGGGGGTTTCCCCTTCCGGGGTAGCAACGGAAGCATTCGAGCCTGTCCCTCCAGCCGGGTTGTATGAGTCTGCCAGTAGGCTCCCTTCCTTAGTAACTTTCCGGCTGCCCCGGCCTTTTCTATTGAGAATGGGGCTTTGGGGGGACAACTCGGCCCTAGGGTCTGCCATGGAGGTTCCCGGTGTTGGGGAGGGGCTGACTTGGGGGAGCCTCGGGCCCCGTTGGACCCCGCTGGCATTTTCAACCCTCAGTGCAGGGCTTGCGGTTACGGGGAGTGGGATTTTTCCTTCCCCCTCTGCATACGAGTTTTTTGGCGTCGGCCCCTCCCCGGGTTCGGATCCTTGTTCCTTAGGGTCTGTTTAGTTCTGTCCTATTGGTGGGTACTTTTCTCCATTTCTACCCCCTTTTCTTTGGGGCGGGACTTCTCCGTCATGGAGGAGTCATGTTCCCTCTGTTATCGGGGTTTCTGCATGACTTTTAGTCTTGGATGCGACTCTCCTTTCTGAGCCTTCGTGATATTGTTTGCTTCTGTGGGATCTCGGGGGTTCGGGAAGATCTTCGATTCTTCTCTCAATTTTGGAACATCTATCGTCTTCTAATGAAGCTTACCTCCGGTCTTTTTTGGACTCGTTGGTCCTCTTCCGTGCTTCTTGTTTTTTTATACTGTCTCATTCTTTCGTGGTTGTTTCTTCTCTCCATGCACTGTCCTGTGCTGCATAGGGTTGCCAGATTGGGCTCCTTGTAGCCCGATTGGGCTACTTGTAACCACAGAAGGGCTATGTTATGTATGTTTCCCTCCTTACTGCTCTTTTCATCTCCTGTTAACAGCTGCCCTGTGTGCTCTGAAAAGGGATTCAATCATTAACAACACTATTTTGTCTAGTTTTCTAGTCAATTTTGTGTTTTTCTTTTATTGGCTCACAACTTCTCGCGACCCACATCTGGCATCCTTGCCTGCGCAAGTGCTGTGGTGGTTTGTTTTGATGTGGGCGGTGTGCATGTGTGCTGGTGTTCTGCGTCCTTTTCTCTCAAGTGCTTTGCCTCTCACTCCTCTCCGTTCTCCAGTCCGTGCCCCGTGGCTACTGGGGGTGTTTTGGATTGCCGCTATAGGGAGAATGCCGGGTTTTCCCTGCGTATGGGTGTGGGGCTCCTCCTCCTCTAGCCTACTCTTCTCCTGCATGTGCGGCTTTGCCTTCTTTCACTGGCGGTGCTCCCGTCATCTTCTCGGCTATGTTGTGTTGTGACACGCTCGTGCCTAAATTCTGCAGGCGAGTTTCTGCGGTCTGGCGTCTCTTTCAGCCAGGCGCTGGTTCGTAGTTTTTGGCTACGAATATATGAACATTGGAACACAGGTGACTGCAGCAGGCCTCTTGGACCTTATGAGGCAGCTCCTATTTATACCCATCCAGTCCCACTCTTATGGATGTATAGCCCATGCTTGAGTCCGGCACGGGGCCCCACCTTCACCAGGTTATGAGGTACGATGGTGGGGGTGTATGTTATGGGGTACATATTACTGTGTCAGGATGTTATGAGGTGACACTTTGCTGCAGTTTTTTTTACTGTGGTTGCGTGTTGGGGATTGGTTATGGCATTTTGTTTGGCCTGTCTTGCAGTGTCTGGCTTAGCCCTTCCATATACATTGGTTTCTCTGTGCTTCCCTAGTTGTTCTTCCCTAGTTGTGTTTTCAGGAGTTGAGCTCTGGTTTTTTGATCCCGCTTCTCACCTGTCATTCGCTGATGTGTGGGTTCTTGTGCCTGCTGGGCTCTATCATGTCTCCGCTGGAAGCTGTGTGTGGTGTCATCCTCCACCACATTGCTTCCTCATGCATTCCGTTTGTCTCCTACTCTGCCACTGCTTCCTTCTTTCCAACGTTTCTCTGGCTCATTGGGCTCTCCTTCCACCAGTGTCCCATGGTGCATGTGCCCCTGGGGTCTTGTAGTCGGTCTTTCTCTACCCTATCGATTTCTTTTCGAATCTGGAATGTGGTGATCTTGTCCTCGGCGCTTGTACTCTTTGGCTCGGGTACTGGTTTGGTGACATACCTTTGCACCTTTGATTCTATTTGCTACACGTTGTTGTGTGTTTTGTTTATGCCTTCCTGGCTTCCCTGCCTGTTGGCGTTTTACGGTCTTGTGGTGTCCCTTCTCTGGAGTCTCGCATCGGAGCTGTCATCTCCGATCGCCTGGCGGGCTCGCTGGCGTTGGGAAGTTTTTCTGTATGGCAGGCATTCCATCTCCTCCTTTGCCAGCTTGGGTTTCTGGCTCTGCTGGCTCCTTGGTCACACCCGAGATCTTCTCGTGGCTCAGCCTTCTGTCCCTTCTTTGGTAGCTACGTTAGTTGGCTTGGTCTTGTCCTTCTCTTGTGGAGGTTCGGGGCTGTCTTCCTTTCGGTATTGGTGTTACGTCTGTGCTGTTTCGCAAGCTGTCTCAGGCGTTGTTTCACCTCCGGTCTGCTCGTGTGTCACCTGAGCCATCCTGGTCTTTGGGCAGAGTGCTCTTTTTTTTTCTCTACGGTTTGTTGTGGC